TTTAAACATTGAGTTGAGTTAATTACATTGCACTTGCACGTGTGTTCTGCCATCTTGATTGGGAAAAGAAAAAATCCGGCATGGACTTATTGTTTATGGAAAACAAGTGTGCGTGCTAGTTGAAAATTCAGTTGAAGCATCATACCTAGAGTTCCTGGATGGCCTCGTCTCTTTTTCCCTACAGGCATGGCTGTGTCAGCTTTGCTTGACCCAGCAGGGCAAGCTTCAAGCTCTGCCTGCTGCTGGAAGTTGTTGAGGGATTCTTCTTCCGACGTGTGTGGCATTGCTTGGAGGTCCAGATACTGGTTGCAGAGGGTGCCAACAACGTGAAGGGGGATGGTGATTTATGCACAACGGAACGAAGGGGCAGCAATTAGACAATAGGAAAATGGTTGATGAACTTTCTGTCAGCATCAACGACTATATATTGTTTAACCCATGGAATGCGAATCTGATTGTCTCATCAGCGCATCAATGTTCCGTTTATTGTTTCTAAAGGATTTTGTAGAGCTTTACTGTGGTATCCTCAAATGATTGTGAGCCGTTCATTTAATTAGATCAGACGGTTATAATCATCTATTACTTTGTAATAGGTGAAATATATATTTATTTATTAATTTTTCTATTTGGAAAAATTGGATAAATGAGGAAAGTTTTAGACAATATAAAAAATCCTTTTTTTTAATCTAATTGATGCATACATGATCTATACCATGTGGAAAACCTTTTTTTAACTTTGGATATGACATAATTTGATTTGGGAGATGCTACGTTGCCCCATTACTTCCTATAGAGGTAATATCTCTAATAAATCTAAGCCATTAATTTTTTAGATTTTTAATATTAATTAATTGGTTAATTAATCTGAGAAAAAAGTTATTCTCAAAACCCCCCTCATCACGGCATGCACAAGTGGACGTGCAGCCATTGATTTCTCGAATTCTCCCAACCCTATTAATCATTTATATTACAACTATCACTCCAATGGCACGATGCATATGAATCCATGTGTATTCTTTTAAAATGGGTTCATTATGCATACAGTGTAATGTACATATTAAGTGATCAAAAAGTTTTTATAATACATAGTCACATTAAAGTTGTACACCGATCACGTGTTATATACTCAATTAAAAAACTCTTATATGTGCTGTCACGTATGTAGCTAAATTTAGGAACAAGAACTTATATACAAGCATAAAAAATGATGACGGTCATGTACGAACCTGGATTTGGCAACGAGACATTCACGGTCACGTATACGTGATTTGGGAATGAGATTACATGCACGAGAAAAAAAGGGCTCACGGCAGCTATGGCTAATTAAATTATTCCATGTCTAAAGTTACAAAATAAAAAAATTGATATATCTAATAGATCACACATGCATAAATTGGATTTAGAAATTAAAATTTATATCTAAAACTTTTCTTATGTATCCTATTTTACCAAATTTAACATTAAATAAATATATATTCCATTTATTACCTCCTAGGAAGTAATAGGTGATTCTAACCGTACGATCTAATTAAATGAATGGCTCACAACATTAGGGGTACCAGCAAAGCCCATTTGATTTAGCATAATTTGAGTAGCATGTAACTTACGTGATAGCTAATTTGTTGGCATGATTTGGACATATGAAAAGACACAACATTACATAATATAATTTGATTAGCACAATCTGTATTTGGCAGCATATTATCATGTACGTAACTTTTTGTTTCCACCATCATACATGACATAATTTGATTAGCGTGTACCTTTACGTTCTCATCATATGTGAGATGTTCTATATCGCCAAATCCATGATTCAATCAAGCTCCACAGGAAAAGAAGAGAGCTAGTCTTGAGCTACCGTGTACTCATTTCGTCGCACTCCCGTTACTGCCTGGTGTGCCAGTCTTTCGATAGAAAGATTTATGATACTGTGAACTGCAGACGGTAATTTCTGCTGCTGCGGACCTTTTACAGAGCGTAGAAATCTGTACGCTTTGCAATCATCGACAGGAGGAGCTGTAATGCATGTCATGTTTCGTCGGTACAAAGGGGATGCAATGGATGCCAACGGTGAGATCCGGGACAAGAGACAAACGTAGGCCGCAGTTTTTGTATCCGGCCTTGCCGCGGTAATGGCATCAACGATCAAGCTCCTCTCGTCTCTTCGGTGCAACTGTGAGACCTTCCCTTGCTGTTTTAGTATTTGGAGTTTCCTCAGCTGCATGGAGCTGGCCTGGAGGTTTGAAGAGTTAGACATCATGTCTTCCACTATGCACAAGCTGTGTTACCACAAGAGGCTAAAGTGTATGTCAAATGGACCGTCGCCGGTTTAGCATCTAGCTATGTCACGGTGAATAGCATCTTCCTTGCAAGTTCTACACTTGACCTTGATCAATCTGCAGTTGTATTTTTTTTAGATAATGGAAAAAAGTTTCCGGCATCTGCAATCGCGCACATCCAATTCTTTACAAAATTTTCAGCTAATTGCTGTAAAAAAAGGGAACGAGAACACAAGTAGATCAAGGTGATTATAAGCAAAGTCTATTCAAGTAGATCAAGGTGATTATAAGCAAAGTCTATTATTGCTCCTCCATCCGCTCTTGGTGAAAAAGTCCAATGAAACAACTTCCAGTGCTCGGCTGGACAGTCGAATGGTTTCCTTGCATCCTCATGCTGCAACGATGCCCAAAACCGCATCCAATACATTCCCCTGAAGGTAGCCTGCATAGAAGAAATAAATTGTTTCTTTTCGAAAACAACATCAGTCCGATGTACACCAGATAGCCCAGAGAAGAACGGTGACACCCACTAAGATCAGCTTTCGTTCACTACCCCCAACGCCAATTAACCAATTCCAATCTGCAGTTGTATGTTTGGTGATATTAACTGTTAGGATTTGGCCTTATAGCCTCTCTGTTAACTTGGCCTAGCTTTCAGATGTTAAGTTGTCAGCAGGGTTTTGTTTAGTGAGATGCTATTGCCAAATTAAAACCCCAAAAGTGTAGATGGTACTTTTGTGCTCATCACTGTGCCATTATCCCATTGCCTGATAGTCTGACATCCGTTGGAATTGGAACTGTGCATAACAAATCATCAGGAAGTGTGCTGAGTCTATTATTGATCCTGCATCCGCTCTTGGTGAAAAAGTCCAATGCAACAACTTCCAGTGCTCGGCTCGCTAGTCGAATGGTTTGCTTTGCATCCTCACGCTGCATCAATGCCCCAAACCGCATCCGCCAATACATTCCCCTGAAGTTAGCCTGCATAGAAGAAATAAATTGTTTCTTTTCGAAAACAACATCATTCCGATGTACACCAGATAGCCCAAAGAAGAGCGGTGACACCCACTAAGATCAGCTTTCGTTCACTACCCACAACGCCAATTAACCAATTCCAATCTGCAGTTGTATGTTTGGTGACATTAACTGGTAGAATTTGGCCTTATGGCCTCTCTGTTAACTTGGCCTAGCTTTCAGATGTTAAGTTGTCAGCAGGGTTTTGTTAACTGGTAGAATTTGGCCTTATGGCCTCTCTGTTAACTTGGCCTAGCTTTCAGATGTTAAGAGCAGGGTTTTGTTCGGTGGGACGCTATTGCCAAATTAAAACCCCAAAAGTATAGATGGCGCTTCTGTGCTCATCACTGTGCCATTAGCCCATTGCCTGATAGTCCGACATCCGTTGGAATTGGAACTGTGCATAACAAATCATCAGGAAGTGTGCTGGGTCTGGCCATCAGTCACTCTGGAGCAAGATGATCGTGCCTGCGTTTCTTCCTCCGACACAGGAGCCCAAGCCAGCACTGTCTTCGTTTGGTGACATCGAATACAGTACAAACAAAGCCGAAGCCATTATCCGGACTGCCCTATGCTTGCATCCTGCTTGGTTCAGCAGCTTGTGGATTTACAGTTTCAGCTCCGGCCTAGATCCTTCTGAATATTAACAGACAAGAGAAAGGACACAGAGGCATATTTACACTTTCAGCAAGACAACAACTGTAAAGGACGGCATGACAGACTAATGCCTCTCTGTGCGTGTACCCGTGTATGCCATGTTTGTGTACGTATGCAGTGATTTTTTGTGTTGCCCACGCACTTTTCTCTCTCTCTGAGGAAACTGGAGGGGCCGAGGCCCCTACAGATAGGATATATATATTAAAAAAAGAGTTAAAGATTACAGGCACAGCTTCAAGAAACAAAGAAAGAAACAAAACATATCAGCCCGTTCGTTTGACTGTGGCTTGTCCTAAACGATCGTAAATTTCCAGCCGGAACAGTATTTTTCTCTCACACAAACCAGCCAGCAGTACTTCTTCACGAACCAGCAACGAAACGAACCAGTCAACCGAACATGCTGTTGTTTGTATCCATTGATCAAACTGAGTAGCAAGGCTTGGCTTAACTCTATGCAAGGGCAAGAGCATTTCTGACGAAAACAGTCTTCTAGCAAGTGTTATTGATGGCTGAATGCCCTTGAAGATTAAGTCATTCCTGACAGTCTTGTCCAGCAAATGAGCACCACTGCTGACATGAAGAATTGTGAGTGAAGTCTGTCTTTGAGATAACCTGAGAGCTCTGGGAATGTTTCATTCAGTGGGATGTCAATGTTTATTAGTTCCCAGCATTGCTTTGCAAATGGACACTGTAGGAAAAGATGCTGACAAGTTTCTTCTGTGTTGTGTAAGCATAATACACAGTTGTAGGAGTCCAAGTGCATATTCTTCCTTTTCAGAATCATATTGTGATCTCTGAGTACTCAACGTCTGAACCGGCAGCTGCTGGTGCTTCAGCATCACAGATGGAATGGATCTTGGCAATTTGCAACAGAGACAACTATTACTAGTAACTATCCATGCAAATACATGTGCACAACAGATTAATGAACAATCTTCGCTACAATTGCTGGGCACGCCATTGGAAGTTGGAACTTGGAACAAAGCTAGGTAGCACAAAGGAAAACACGCCCTACTACTACGTAGAATAGAAGAGATGGAGTGAGTGAGGTCAGATCTCGTAGGTGACGCCGACCCTGAGCAGCTGGTTCTTGAGGATGGACAGCGCCTTGTGGCTCTCCCGGAGATTCTTCCGTATGAAGCCGTACACGCTGTTCACCACCACCCGTTTCAGCAGCGACGACCCCGCCGCTGCCGTCACCGTGGCCTCCCCCATCAGGTACACCACCCCGTGCTCCGCCTCCGCGTCGATGAACCGCTGCTCCTCCTCCGCCACCGCCGCCGATGAACCGCTGCTAGCGGCGAAGGCGGCCTCCTCCTGGACGAACGTCTTGAGGCGGTCCAGGAGGAAGGCGACGAACTCCCGGTGCCCCTCCATCGCAGGGGGGGCGGGAGGAAAAGGGGTACTTGTGTTGATCGGTTGATTGGTGATTCCTCTACTTCCGGAGGGGTATCGCGTTACCGCCCGTCGAGACATGCTACAATGCCAAACCAAACAAATAATCATCGGTCACAGTGTTGTTCCTCCCGTAATCTATTTCCCAAGCCGAACAGTGGGTGAACCAAACATCATGACATGTATTTGAGGCCCATTAAAGAAAGCCCATTCAGGCCTATCTGATGGTTCCACATCCTGCACGATGTGGTGAACATGAAGCGTCGCCTCGTCTTGCTTAGACAGCCGGCCGCATCGTCTCTTTCGCTTGACCGCTTCACCTTCTGGGCATTTTCATGGACAGCTGGACTAGACGAGGTGCCGTGGGAGTGGGTTTAGGACGTTATCACGGAAGACGCATGTCACGACCAGGTACCCGAAGAGGAGGAGTTAATGACTATTCATTCAAGCAGTCAAGAGCGCGTTTACGGCTCGAACCGACCCCTAGGTGTGTAAGCTCCGCCTTGCCCGACCTCTGGGGGCGAACTCCGCCTCGTCCGACCCTGAGGCCGCGGGCTCCGCCTCGCCCGACCCTTCGGTTTGCGCTCCGCCTCGCCCGACCCCAAGGTCGCGAGCTCCGCCTCGCGCCGACCGTTGGTTTTGCGCTCCACCTCGCCCGACCCTTGGGTTTCTGCTCTGCCTCGTCTGACCCCGATGCCGCGGGCTTCGCCTCGTCCGCCCTCTGGGGGCAGGCTCCGCCTCGTCCAACCCCGAGGCCGCGGGCTCCGCCTCGTCCGACCTCTGGGGCGGACTCCGCTTCGTCCGACCTCTGGGGGTAGGCTACGCCTCGTCCGACCCCGAGGTCGCGGGCTCCGCCTCGCCCGACCCCTCGGGTGCGGGCTTCGTCTCGTCCGATGGGGTTCCATACCGTCGCCAACCACTCCAGGTCCAGACGTATGAGCCTGGGTCAAAACTTTGAAAACAGGAAAAAGACTGGCACGTCTCGATGTAACCCACGGCCACGACGGTCCATACCTGAGGATTCACATCAAGAATAGCATCGACCGTACTGGTACTGTTTTGCCTAACTCTCATATGAACACTGACACACGCGTCAGTTCACCACAACGTCCGCCAAAACGGAGTGGAGCGCCATGACTGGCAGACGACGCCTGCGCATGGCTCCAGTGACGGACAGGGCCACGATGTGGAGCTGCCCTTGTTGACATCTTGAGGATCGGCGGGACCCACATGAAGGAGAAGGACCCGGCGATCCTGAAGGACTTTTGCTCCCTCTCATTCTTCTCTTTTCCTCCGCTGTAACCCGTGCATTCCCTTGACCTATAAAAGAGAAAGCAGGGCGTCTCATGAAGGGCATCTGATCACCGATCGGATCGATTCAAGTCAGGTCTGAACAAACCCATCGAACCCCGAACACACGGCTGAGCAGCAACCAAGCTCTCTCAGCACTCGTTCACTCCTTTCACCAGAGACTTAGGACCTGTCCCTCTCTCGCTCGTTTGTAACCCCTACTATGAACTTTCAGTGCTAGTAACATGAGCAACAGCAATGAATTGGACGTAGGAATATTCTGTCCGAACCAGTATAAACCTCGTGTTCTCTAAGCACACCATCCGAGCCAGACGCGTAATATTAGAAAATTACTTATTGGTGGTGACTCAAAACACCGGCGGTGGCGCGTCGTCGGATAGGAGCATTTTGCGCTTCTCGACATCCACACAAGGCCTCGAATGGCTAGTCTAACGTCACCGGGTCCCGGAGCGCCGCGACGCGCGCCGGGAACCTAGACTTCATCGTCACGACAGAGGGAGAGTTGGTGCGGACTCCCATCGTCGTCCAACCTCTCCACTCCGCTAGCCTTGACGCAATTGTCGAGGCGCTTGAGGAACTACAGCTGCATGCACCGGAGGTCCGCGCCTCTGGGAGCGACCAGCTCCTCGACTTCGACTACGGGAGGATAGAGCGCCAGCTCGGTGCCTTCTTGGGACCCCGACCGTCCCGGGAAAACCTACGCCACCTTGCCTTCTCGTTCGCTAACATCATGACGTAGCTCGCCGGAGGAGAGCAGCTCTCCCCGGAATACCTCATTCAGAACGCCCCGACAGCGCTCCTGTCCGGTCTCCGTAATGCCGCGAAGACCGTTGGCCACCTTATGGCGCAACGCACGCCTCCATCACCTGCGAACGATGAGTTCATGGGGATGACCGAATATGTTGTGGAGACTTTCCATGACCTCCTCGCAGGAGAATCAGAGTCGCCCTCCAGCTCTGACTCCAGCAGGGGGAGCCATCACCCCTCTCGTGAGTGTTTCATGGCAGGTACCCCCGAGGAACCCGTCGAAAGCATCCACGAAGAAGAGGCTACCCCAATGAACGACCTCGACGACGAGGCTGAGGGGGATACTAGGGCCCCGCCCCGCCTATGGGTCAAGCAACTGAAGGCCTGGCACTAAGAGCTCGAAGAAGCATGACTCTAGCTCGAGCAGGAACGGGTGGAGCTCGAGCGAGAGATCGAGCGCCATGGCCCGCGACGTGAACCGAAGGATCATGGAGAACGATGAAGCGCTCCCACACTTCACGTGGGCAAGCCAGAACATCGCTGCTGCGGTGGCCTTGCTCCGGGGGCTTCCGGGGCCTGCAACGCCCAAGGATCATCGGACCCATCACGATATTCGCAAGCTACTCGAGCACGCGGCAGAGCAGCAGGCTGAGAGCTCATTGTCCTGATGACGTGAGCTCGACGCCAACTAGCGCACGCCCTCAGACTGACCCGACAAGGATGCATCAGTCCACCAGACGTCGCAAGGCGGCAGGCCACACGCCGTGGTCCTAGTGCATGAGCGTCTTAGCCGCCAATGTGACGTGCAGGACACCCTCGATGCCCGCAGGCATACCTGTGGCGATGCGAGGGAGGGAGCTAGCCGCAGCCACCACCCTCGTCATAGCGTGCCTCGAAGATGAGATGGACTAGCTAGATGAAGCGTGCGACATCGCCCTCCTCCGCTTGGCCAAATACCAGCAAGCATTACACCGGTACCACAGCCATCGAGTGTGGGGTCAGGCCTTCAACGTCGGGGACCTAGAGCTCCGCCTCATCTAGAGCAACAAGAACCACCACAAGCTCTCTCCGCCATGGGTGGGACCGTACATTGTCGTGGAGGTGCTCCGACCAGGCACCTACAAGCTCAAGACCATCGACGGCATAGTCTTCGTCAATGCCTGGAACATCAAGCAGCTATGTTGCTTTTACCCTTAATATACGCACACTTTCTCTTATCAGTTTTGCTAACAAACTCCCTGATCTTTAGTGACACCCGACCCCAGCAACGGCAGAGGGCCGGGCCTCACTCAGGGGCTGATAAGAGCGTATCTATCTGGTAGACATTCTCTACGCCCGACCCTTTCTCACGTTAAGACCTAGAAGCGAGGTTTGTGGAAAACGAACGCTGAGTAAAACTAGTCGGACTGTGAGAAACCTACGCCCCAGCGGCTACGACGTCTTTGCTCACCGGCGTGATTAGAGTTTTTTACGCACCCTAGGCTTTTTGGCCTTAGCTATGGAAAGAGTCAGTACACGTCTAAGACTATATCCATATGGCAAACTTTCTCTGTGCCCGACCCTCTCTCACGTTGAGACCTAGAAGCTAGGGTTGCGGAAATAAACGCTGAGTAAAACTGGTCAAACTGCGAGAAACTTACGCCCCAGCGGCTACGGCGCCTTTGCTCATCAGCATGATCAGAGTTTATCCACCCGCACCCTGGGCTTTATGGTCATAATGACATAAGGGGTCAGAATGCACTAACCTTTTTATACGAAAAGGAGAGAAGGGATAAAAATTTGTTAGGCCATAACGAAATTTAAGGGCTTGTCCACTTATAACAAGTTCATCGCCTAGCGTATCTGCCTAACTAATTTCTTAGGGGGGATGATCTCATCCTCTATCTCCGCAGGTAAATCCTATGTTAGCAGGTCACACAAGTCGATCGGATGGCTTGGCCGCTGCTGAGAGATGGGTAAGGAGCAGTAGGATGCCCCGTGTAGGTTATTCCGACTATCACGAACGATGGATCTGGATTCCACTCGAACATATCCGGTAAGAGCTTCCCAAACCCGTCGCTCATGCCATCGAGGTAAGTCCTATGTTAGCAGGTCACCCAGGTCGATCGGACGGTTCAGGCCGCTACGAGATGGGTCACCCTTAATTTACGCACATTTTCTCTTATTAATTTCGCTATCAAGCCCCCAACCCTAGCAATAGCAAGGGGTCGGGCCTCACTCGGGGGTTGGCAAGAGTGTCTATTCGGTAGACATTCTCTATGCCTGACCCCTTTCTCACGCTAAAACCTAAACGAAAGGTGTGCGGAAACAAACACTAAGTAAAACTGGTCGGACTACGAGAAACATATGCCCCAGTGGCTACGGCGCCTTTGCTCACCAGCGTGATCAGAGTTTGTTGCCCGTACCCCGAGATTTAGCCTCCGCCTTCCTAGGAAGGGTTTGGAGGGGCCCACCTATAGAATCTCCATCGAGGAGAGGCCGGCAGGTCGCCCAAGTCGACTGGACGGCTCGGGCTACTGCCGAGAGACGGGTAGGGAGCAGCAGGATGCCCCACGCGGGTTAGGCTGACTTTGTTACGAACGATGGACCCGGATTTCACTCGAACACATCCGGTAAGAGCTCCCTGAACCCATCGCTCGAGCCATCGAGGTAACTTTACCAACCCCCACTTTTACTTTCTAGTGCATGATCATTCCTTCATCCATACTCACGCATTCATGCATACATTCATCCATTCATTCATCCCATACATCCAAGCATTGCATATGCAATTGCTGCATCACAACGCTTCGCGTCGCATCACGAAGCGGTAGTCGTCTCATTCAATATGAGCGGCGACCGACCGAGGTTCGAAGGCCGGCCCGCGAAGGGCTCGAGGCCATCTCATGTCAAACAAAGCCAGGGGAGAAAAACATAGATAAGCC